TTTTATAATGGGAAGAGCTGGGCATTCCTGAAAGTGATGCTAACAGCCCCACCTGTAATAAGGGATCAATGCTCAGCTCACACAGTCCAGCCGAGAGTCCCGAGGCGTGGTACAGGGGGAGTCCTCAGAGGGGTGCAAGCCAGGCTCCCATAGGTACTTGCAGTTCTTTTGAAAGGTGTTCATCAGAACTGGAGGCAGGGTCAGCGTCAGCTGTTTTTCTTCCCTGTGTGCTTACATGCAGAGGCTGAGAATGGAGTGAGTCATGGCCTTGGGGCCAGGCTCTTGAGATTGGGCCATGTGCTGCTGCTGAGAGTTGCCTTCTCTTTGTACCCATTAATTTCCCTCGGCATCACCGGTTTTGGAAGGAGCATTGGAGCCCAGGCCTGGCTTGGTGTTGGTGGCACATGGGAGCCATGTTTCTAACCATTTTGGGACACTTGTCTAATGACAATTCTTTTGTCTGTGGATCCCCTTCCACTTTCCAGAGTTGATTGGTCGGTCCCCTCTTGGGCGCATCCTTCCCCCATCCCATACAGGTGAGGCTACACTTCCACCCACAGTTAATATGCTGTGAGAGACGGCTTTGCTACTCCTGTGAGGATGTGGGTTTTTCTAAGTGTAGCCTAATTTGGGATTTAGAGCAAAGAAGATGAACAGATTGGAGCCTTAGCTAATGGAAGCTTCAGCTGGTTGGATGCTGTGACTGACAATTGGAAGTACTCCCTGCACAAAGTATTTGGTGATGCCTGAAGGGTAGGAAGCAACATCCCCTGCTTATTAGGCAGCATGTCTGGCTTTAGCGGGAGTTTGGCATGGAGGAGTTTCAGGGGAAGCTGCATCTGTGACATTGACAGGATTTATCCTGGAGCAGGCAGGACGTCAGGTGCTTTGGTTTGTACCTGTGCTGGTGGTAGCCCACCTTGGCGTATACTAGTGCCATTCTGACTGTTGGGAACCAGCTAGAAAAGGTGAGGAACAGCAAGTCAGTGGGGTCCCCTTATTTCTACCTGTGCCCCAAGGAAGGAAAGTCTCTACCTCCAGGGAGTGTACTGTGTGTCACAGCTGCAGTGCCCAATATGCAGCTCCGAGGGACTCCCGAGCTCAGTGGGCTGCAAAGCCCAGCACATCCGTTTCAGCAACACTTTCATCACATCTGATGAAGTGAGCTGTAGCTCACGAAAGCTCATGCTCAAATAAATTGGTTAGTCTCTAAGGTGCCACAAGTACTCCTTTTCTTTTTGCGAATACAGACTAACACGGCTGTTCCTCTGAAACCTCTCTAAAGAGAGTTTTCTCTCAGCCAAGGCAGTCAACCACATTGTGCTGGATGTGTGGGGCCATGCTGGGGAGGTGCAGAGGAGGTTTCTTAACACTCAGCACTCACCCAGCACTTTGCAGCTTCAAAGAACTCTACAAACTTCTACCTAATTAACCTCCACTTCCTGGGCACTGTGCGTCTGCTCCGCTCTTCACTTGCTCACTTACTCTGTCCATCTTCCACTGCATGCTAGGCTCCTTTGTTTGAGATATGTCCCCCACAAGCCCCTGTGGCATGCAGCCATGGCATCTTTGCTATGCAGCTGCAGGTCCCCATTGTGACTTCCCCTATCCCGAAGAAAAGGATCAAAGTGTCTGAGCAGAAAGTTTCCCTTGATTTTCAGAGCTTCCTCTTTGTTCTAGAATCAAATCCCTAGGGCTGTGACACTGGGGAACAGGGGTGTTGATGTAAGGGCAGGGTTCTTGAGCAGCCCCACACACCCTGACCTCCCCTGAATATCCCCCTCTCCCTGCAGAGCTGGGCTGGCTGGATTGCTCTGGGGCTGGGGGAGGTGCGGAGCTCCTCTTCTTGGCCTGCTTAGGAGCTCCAGTGCATGAATTCTCAGAGCCACATGGGTCTTGTTTACTTGTCATGCTGAGAAGACAAGGCCCATTGTAGCTGAGCTGGAAGTGAAGGGGAAACAACCCTTCAATTCATGTGTGTAATGCTCCCCGATTCATCCTTATGACGGCACCATGAGCCACTTTGTAACCTGCACCAGGGCTCAGCTCCAGGCAGGCAGCCCCATGGCTCCATGTGTATCAGGCATTAGTCCGTGTGCCTGGTTCCTGACAGAGCCCAGCCTGCTGTGCTAGGCTGGAGTGAGCTGGGGCAGGGAGGGCCATACTGCTCACCTGGAATGGCTCATGCTGCACATTCCCTTCTCTCCATCTGCTTTTCCTCTTCCCCGTCTCATGGGGGAATTACTGCTCCTCACCCAGTGGAGCCAGAGCCCAAAACATGCAGCCTGGGAGCCGAGAGTGGCTGAAGCCTTGATGTGAAGCTGGACATGGCCAGAGCTGCTTCTCTGGGGCTAACTCCGGGCTTTCTAATGTTACCATTTAGTTCCCAGCATATCTGTGTTTTCAACATATCCATGTGTCACAGATCCACAGGATCTGTGTACAACCCAGTTTGTAAACCACCTTCAGTGGGGCAGACTCCCAAGGAGTCCCACTCATTCTTCAGGATAGCCCATGCAGCCTCACCGCCTTCTGGACTGAGCGGTCTGCTGCAGGCCAGGAGCTCTGCCCAGTGAGTCCGGCTGAGACAGACCCCTGGCAGGAGACCTGTCCACGCTGCAGGGACTAATGCTCCCCGGGTCTGTATTTTCTGTGACACTCAAACAGCGTTTTCAGAACACAGTGGCTGGAACACAGCATTGGAAGGCCTCAGGTTAGCAGAGAGAAATGAAGGTTAAAACGTGGTCCATTCTGGTGAAGCCAGCCTTGGCTAGCCCAGTGCTTGTTCTCAGGGTGGTGTAAGAGCTGGACTTGCATTAGATGATGAGTTAGTGTGGTTCCAGGTGGGGAGCATGGGGTGTGAGTGTAAATCAGACTCGGGAGACAACTGCCCAGAGCCCCTAGGGCATTGTTCCAGAAATGTCATCTTGAGGGCTGTGTTGGAATGCCCAGAGCTTTTCAAAGGGTCATTTCCTTTGTCTTTAATATATTAATCTCTTAGGTTTATGTAGTGCCTTCCATCTGGGAGGATCCCGAAGTGCTTTTGGGACTGTACATACAGGGGGCTCACCCACCACTTAGATGCAGCCATCTCCTGGATGGACAACTTAGGACAGGAAGTGAAGGAAAATCTAGTATCTAATTAAACATGGGGGATGAATTCCAGGGAAGCTGAATGTAGTTTCTTGAACTGGACTATGGCCAGTACATTGGGGCTCTCACTCTTACTGTGGGAAAGGTTTCATGAGAGTGAGCATTAATGTCCCAGAGTGGTCACATCCTCAGAAAAAGCTGGCACCCCCTGCTGTCACACTGGGGCAAGGTTCAGCACAGCCTCGCAGATAAGAGCGCCCCCTACTGAACTGCCAACCTCCACTGAATGGTGGTCTCCCATCCAGGTACTAAACTCGTTTGCATCTACTTAGAACATGAGATGTGGCAAAATCAAGGTTTCAGGCCTTCCTCTCAATTTTCCTCATTTTCTTGATTTTTCTTACCCCCTTCCCACCTCTTTGAAATAATTTTATCTCCTCTGAAAATCCACAGAGTCTGCGCCCTCCCGAGCCCAGGCCTTTCCGTGATCCCTGCAGGAATGGGGTCTGTGTGTCTGTGGGTTAGGGCTCTTGTGCCTAGCTGAGATCCGCAGCCTGCCATGGCTTTGGAGGTTCAGCTTAATGTCCCTTCTCTTTTTCTGATGCATTATTATGGATTTTTAGTTAGTCAGTCAGTCAGTCATGGAGAACATGTCTGTGTTCAGAGGGCAGATGGGGAGAGGAGTCTCTTAGTCACTGGTCCCCTCTGCTGTGGCTGATACGGCTGGCATAAGCGCACCGCCTGGTATCTCTGGGTTGGATGTTTGCATTAGCTGTAACACAAGCGTTGCCTGGCTTGTGCCAGGTTCTTCCATGGTGCTTTGCATCACACTTCTTCCTTGGTGCGCTGAGAGGCAGGTGGGCTCTGCAGCTAGGACTGAGTGAGCCAGCAGTGTGCTAAGGCAGTGGGGCTATTGCAGCATGATTGGCCTGGCCTTAAGCATGGAGCCATGTGGAAAGATTAAAATGGCCTTCACCATCCTCCTCCCCTCTCCCTCTGGACAGGGCCTTCACCTCCCCTGCTGCTGAGTCTGACCCCTGACCAGACAGCTTCATGGTATGTGCCCTCTTTACACTTTCTCAGTGGGGACTGGGGCACGGGGGTGAAGCCACCAAAAAGGGCAGAGAAATAATTTTGAGGGCTCAGGGTGCCAGTAATGAAATGCTAAAATGCCTGTTCCCCAGCTGCCACCTGCCATGACTGACTAGATTGGAGAGTGGGACAGCATCTGCCTTGCCCTGCCAAGTGTAACCCATGCCTGGCCAGCTCCCTGCCGCTCTCACAGCCTCAGAAATGGGTTCTGACTGGGTGTAGATGCACTGATGGGATTTTCTCTGCCCTGAGGCAGCTCTGTTGGGAAGAGTTGTGGTCATGTGGCATCTACTTGAGTAACAGCTTCATTTAAGCCCTCTTGACGGAGCTGTTGTGTGACTTGTGAACTACTGGGAGGAGCCCTGTCCTCAGCTCTGAGGTGAACGGGATGGAGATCTAACATGCAGCTAATTATCATTTTAGCACTTTGGAATTCTCCCCTCATTCAGGAGGAATTAGGAAATCTGAGTGGGAGCTTCTGAGCCCTGAGTGCTGGCTCCGCAGGCAGGGTTTCTGCATGCTTTGTGGCACCCAATGGGCAGTGGTTGCCAGGAGCTTGGGGGAGTCTCTGCCTTGCCATGTCCCTGTTTGGAGCCATGCTGATTCCTCCTCTCCTACTAGGGGTAGCTGGCTTGGGGGAAAGGAGCATGCTGGGTGCTTGGCTTTCCCCCTGCAGTCTCCCCCCGCCCACGCACTAGGGCAAGGAGGGCAGGAGTTTTCCTTGTCTCTCAGAGTGGGTTCAGGGTGAGGGGCACCCGAGCGTTTCTGGCCTGCTGTCCCCACCATAAGCTGATGTTCTCTGCTTGTCTCCTCAGAGTGCCTCTCGGAGGACTGTCGCTCAGTGCTCCAGGAACAGGCCACGGCGCTGGGACTCTGCATGTTTGCCCTGCTGGTGAGGCGCTGCACCAGCTTACTGAAGGCATCTGTCGGAGGTATGGGAGCTATCTGCACAGTGCTGGGTAGTGCGGGTAGCCTGCCTAACAACACGATGCTGCAGTTGATTCCTGTGTCACGCTAGCTCATGTACTCCCTGCCCTAGCCCAGCCCTGCTTCCCAGGCTGGCTCACTGCCTGCTCCATCACACACCACCTCTTGTCTCTTGAGGCCTCTGGGTTTTGTCCTAGTTTTCAGACAATTCCTCCCTCCTCCATCCCTGGGCTCTTTCTCCCTTTGACTCCAGGCAGTTCCAGGACTTCAGTGTGGGGCTGCCCGAGCTGGAGAGCCCACGATGTATATTGGGGGTGAGACACCACGACCCTTAGCCTTTTCATCCATCCTGCTACATGACAGGCTTTCTGGTGCCTCCAGACAACTCCTGGAAGTCAGGATTCCTGGGTTCTGTTCCTGGCTCTGCCATTGACTTGCTGCGTGGGCTTGAGCAGGTCACGACCACTCTGTAAAATGGGGTGATGCTGTATCCCATCCTTCCCTTGGGCCCGTCGCTGCGCCGGGGGTGTGAGTGGGGATGAAGCACTCTCTGTGCACCTCCAGAGTGAGGTACTCAGTGGCCTTTGCGTGCACACACACCCCCAAGAGGGAGGGATCCAGCCAGTCTTCCTCAGGAATGGGGGACTGCAGTGGGCCTGGCCCAGCTTTTCTTTTTTGTCTCTGCAGCTTGGCCCCAGGAAGCAGAGCAGGCCGAGGAGGATGATATCAAGGTCTCCGCCTTGCCCCAGGATCTGAAGGAGCTCCTCCCCAGCGTGAAAGTCTGGTCGGACTGGATGCTCGGCCATTCGGACACCTGGAACCCCCCTCCCACCTCCCTCGAGCTGCCCAAACAGTATGTGAGCTCTTCCTGCTCTTCCAGCGCGGGCCCACCTCTGCGGGCTCCTTGCCGGTGCCCCTTGTTCCTTTTCTGCCCCTCACGGAGGTGGTCTGCTCTGTCTCCCAGCACCACTGCCTGAGCAGAGGGTATCGCTCACTGCCCTGTGCGTGGAGAAAGGGGTTAGTGACAGAGGGATCTTCCCTAGCAGTGAGAGCTGCAGGCTGGAAGTGGGGTGTATGTGGTTCAGGGTGGTGACAGGCATCCCAAGGGCACAGCATTAACCCTTGTGAATAGCTCCCCTTCATTCCCTAGTGTTTCAGGGAAGGATGGGCCAGATTTCTAGCTTACACATGGGATCTCTCTCCATTTCCTGGGGTGCATCTCCCCAGGGCCTCAGCCAGCCAGCTGTTTGTCTGTGAGAGTGGAATCCGCTCCCAGCTCGCTGCTTGTATTCTCTTCACCTGTGAGAAGGAGCTGGACAAACCCCAGGCAGCCTGGGCCAGGCCTTGAGCAGCTCGCTGTGCTTGGAACCCCTTTCTCCTGGTTTGAACGCAATTTCCTCTGGGCCAGCCAGTCACAAAGGGTTAATTTGCTAAGCTGGCTGATTCCAGACCATTAGTCCGTAATGCGGACTAGGCAATTTGCATATTTTTGGACAGAAAATCATGAGAAGGGGCCAAGTATGGAGTGTGCGAAGCAGCATCTGAGCATGCTCCGTGACTGCTTTCCCGCAGGATTTTCCATCTGCCTCCGGTACTCTGGATCCAGAGCCTGAAATCACGTCTTACTGTTAATCCAAAGGAGCCAGAACCCAGGGTGATGGGAAGGCGCATTAAGAGTAATCCAGCAAAGTGGCTTAACCATTAATGGGTCCCTGCTCCAATGCGTCAGGTCCAGTCCCGCTCTCCTGTTTTATTGCCTCCACTCCAGTTCTTTTTCATTTGGCTGAGGAAATGGAAATCTCACACAGGAAGTGCTGGGCCTCATTTTGTGGAGATGGAGTCTGTTTTCTGTTTGTCGGCTGCTCGATGTGGGACCGTTGCCTGCTCATGTGAACTGTTGCCCATCTTTGGGCAGGAACTCAAACTCGGAGCTGTCATGTGAGCTCGCTTGCACCAATCCGGAGCTCCCTTTGCGCTGCCTTTGCAGGGAGCTGCTGAGCCATCAGCAACGGGCTTGCCTCGAGATGGAATTTCTGATTGGGTTCATGCAGCCAGCGCTCAGCATGCTCCAGGGAGGAGCCACCTCCTCCCTTGTTCGGGGTGCACACTGAGATCTGCCTCAGCTGCCTCCAGCTTCTGGGAGCCAGTCTGGCCCCCTGACAGGGTTAGGAGCACGTGCAAGCTCCCCCTTTCCCATCAAGAAGGGAGAAGGTGAGGGTTACAACCCAGCCCCTATCAGAGACTGTGGCCCATGGTTCCATCAAGTGCCAAGGAGCAGCTGGAGATGCAGGTCCCGGGTGATAGGAGGTAGCTGGGTGTGGGTCATAATGTACTTCGAGCAGCTGCTCTGCTCAGAGCTCCAGAGTTGGGAAGTCAACAAGCTTCACCATTTGGTGAAGGCTCAGTAGGCCCAGCCACTTCCCTGCCTTGCTCTCTTCATGCAGTGCCTGGGCCTACCCCTCCTCCCACTGTTCAGATCCTTTCCCTACAATGGCTAGAGCCTGTTCTTCCCCATTGCCCACTCTCTGACAGACCCCCTCAGATATGGTGAGCTGTAGTTTACATGGCATGTCTCTGGGTTTTTGGGGGTGTACCAAGATGTTCTTTTAGCACAACAATGCCTGTTTCCCACCACTCTTGTGTACCTCTGTGTGATGGAGGCCATGACCGCTAGAAGTGGAGCCCCCTGCTGGACATGTGCCTCTCCAGGCAAGAAGAGAAGAGGTGGCAGGAGAACCAGCTCAGCCCTGCCAGGTGACCTTCTCCCTTCACTTCCCCAGTCTCAGCATGTCTCCCGTGTAGGGTGGACAGGAGTCGTGATGACTGGCTTAGCATTCCTGCTTTGTACTGACGCAGGCCTGCACTCTGGTTCTGGGGCTATTTACTAACCAGGAGAGCCATCAAGTGCAGGGGCCTTGACAGGAACTATTTGAAGATGTTCTAAAAGTAAATCATGGGCCAGAGCATAAGGGAATGCCTTGGGCCAGGCCTGGGACCCACGGGTAGGTGACCTTGGAGAGGGAGAGAAAGTGTAAATGCTAAGGGCCGAGCTTGACTCTGAGGCTGGGCGATGAGGAGGTGCAATGTTCCCAACTCCATGCGCCCTACAGCTGTGAGTTCTCCATCCATGACATACTCTGCTCCCTCCACATTCCCTTCCAGGCCTTGTCCTGAGAGGCTGGGTTGGAATAGCTGGGAGCAGCCCTTCTAGCGCTACTTCGCCATTCCCTTGAGTGCCACCTCTGGGGACTGGAGCAGAGCAAAGGGACTGAATCGAAATTGAAACATGGGAGCATGCTGTGGGGATCCAGTGCATCTCTGTGTCTCTAGAAATCTCACCGGGTCTCCAGAAAGCCCAGCGCCAGCACAACGTCTCATCCCGGGGCTGGAGCTGGGGCCAGTGGTGACACAGCAGCTCATCCTGGGGCCAGGCCCAGCACCATGGCTCATCCCGGGGCCAAGGCCAGGCCCAGCACCATGGCTCATCCCGGGGCCAAGGCCAGGCCCAGCACCAGCACAGTGGCTCATCCCAGGGCCAAGGCCAGGCCCGGCACCATGGCTCATCCCGGGGCCGGGGCCAAGGCCAGGCCCGGCACCATGGCTCATCCCGGGGCCAAGGCCAGGCCCAGCACCAGCACCATGGCTCATCCCGGGGCCAAGGCCAGGCCCGGCACCATGGCTCATCCCGGGGCCGGGGCCAAGGCCAGGCCCAGCACCATGGCTCATCCCGGGGCCAAAGCCAGGCCCAGCACCAGCACAGTGGCTCATCCCGGGGCCGGGGCCAAGGCCAGGCCCAGCACCGGCACAGTGGCTCATCCGGGGGCCAGACGCAGTATCAGCAGCAACACAGCAGCCCATCCTAGCTCATCCCAGGGCCTGGGCTATTGAGGAGGCTTGTCAAGGCTCATTGCAGAGTCTGGGGCCTAGGCCGGTGGGCCTGCCCATCCCAAGGCCTCCGCTCATGCTGTATTCTCCACATTCGTGATTCCTAGTTCTCCACAAATGACAGAGTCAGGGGACTTTGAGAACGTCTAAACTCAGCCCAGCTGTGGCAGTTGGTTTATTGCTTTCAGCTGGTACTTGAACCCGGGTCCTGGTCTTGGAGTCTTTCCCAGGTTTAATCCCTGGAGTTTTCTCTGCAGCTGTATGACACTGCACTGACCCCGAATGAGGATAGGAAAATAGAACCAGTGCCAAGCCAGAGTCTCTTTTTCATTTGGAGTCTGGCTGTCTGCCCATGACCAGGGTTACATAATGGGAAACATAGCTGGGGCTCTGGAGAGCCCGCGTTTCACCACGCTGCCCAGACCTTCGCATTCTGATGCTATATATCTTCCTAATTGTAGCTCAGATGCATTTATCACACTGCTGGATTTGAGTCCTTACAATAAAAAACACCAAATTCCTCAGCTTGCTGCTTTCCCTGTTGGACAGAGATGCAGGAAAAGGTGTGAGAGGTAAATGCTGCGCTCCGCTCCAGCACATGGCACTGGGGACTCAGAGAGCCGCATCTCAGGGGTGTCCTCTCCCTGACAAGTGCTTGGGAACATGCGTAGAGCATGAACCCCAGCATTCAGAGGGTGTCCTCTCCACATCCAAACGGGCTCAGGGCCCCTGTGTGATGCGAATGGTGGGCTGCACCCTTCCCAAGATCCGTACTCTTGATTCTAGGCTGCTTTGAGCTGACCCCCACCCATAACAGTCTGATTGGTGTTGGACCACAGAGGTTTTGGGGAAGATACAGGCAATGTATAGCCCTCTTTGGAACTGTGTGTGTGTGAGTGGGGGGGCATGGGTGACATTCCTTCTCCTTCACCTCTCTAGGGGAGGTGCCTTCCATGGTTGCCATGTTGTGGCACAGTTCCTGGGTACTAGCAGGGCTTCCTGTTGATGGCACAACCGCATCTTGGGCATCTCTGCTTGGATTCTAGAGAGCAGCAAAGTATTAGTGTGGTGGCTTCCTTGTCTAGAGGGGTTTGGTGAGTGAAGAGTGTGACTCACACGCGGGCTGGAAAGAGGGTGTGTCTCTGAATACCGGGTACGTTCCCCTCCACACACAGCGTACCAAAGAGTAGGTTGTGTGACCCAGCTGTGAAAGGCAATAACACCACAACACAACTTCCTCGTACATAACATCTTTCTCCTAAACTGCCCCCCAAGTTCCTCATGGAGAGTAGCTGGGGGGAGGAGGGGTGGACGAGACACAGGCAAAGGAAAAGAGAGAGTGAGAGTTGACGAGGCAGAGATGTTCCTTATGCACACGCTGATGGCAAGAGACAGATTCGCAGGCCAAGGCGGAGAGTTTCGGTGTGAGGCTGATGCTGAAGCTGCAGACACTGGAGCAAAGGGGAGGTGGGGGAGCCAGGGCTGCAGGGCAGGAAGCTGCTCCTGCCTTTGAGGCAGTGGCTGAGGAAGTTGACACCGGTGGGCAGGGAAGAGCACAAATTCCCATGTGATCTCAGAGATCTGCTCGCTGCTTCTCATTGCACCGTCAGGAATGTGCCATTAAGTAGAGAAGCCCTGACTATTCAGTGTGTTGCAGGGGTGGCCAGTGGGAATCTGCTTTCCTGCTAGGCTGGGAATTGGGGCCTCTGAGCTTGCTATAGGCTACATGCAGCCATTTAAAGTGGTGCATTTTAACCAACTATTAAATTAAACCCAAATGCTTTGAAAAAATTCTAGAGCCTACTTTATAGGAGCATGGAAGAGCCTGTCAGGCTGCCCTCATCACACAGGGCCTGCTGAGCAGTGTCAGCTCCCACTGAGGGGTACAGCCCCAGCCCAACCCGTGAATACAGGTACTGAGACGCTGGTAGGGATTGCTAAGGGCTGAATTGAAAGTCCCTTTCTTAG